CAGTCGACAATATCATGACCTAGTCAAAGAGAGACAACATTATCTCATGCCTCGGTCTTCGTAGCTCAGGCTTTGGCGCAAAACACATTCCCAATTGTCCTCAGTAAAATTTGGAGTTGGTAACTATTTATTCTACTTCTTTTCTTTTCTCATTAGATAGGGCCTCAAAGCTCTCTAAGTAGCCAAGAATGACCTTGACCTTCTGATCCTCCTGACTCCCCTTCCTGAGTGCTGGAAAGACAATTACCACCTTCGCAGTGATAGTTGGCCGGGGCTTTCCATATGCTCAAGCACTCTACCAACTGAGGTATTCAACATAGGTGGTAGTTTTTCTTCTCCATTTTTCTTCATTTTATTTTATTATTTAGTTTTTGTTTGGTTAGTTGCTTTGGTTTGCTTTGGAGATAGGATATCACCCTATAGCCTCGGCTGGCCTGGAGCTCACTAGGTAGATCAGGTTGGCCTCAAACTCCTGGAGATCCACCTGCCTCTGCCTTCCTAGTACTGAGATTAAAGGCGTGAGCCACCACAGCCAGATCATTTTCTTTCATTTGAAAGAGAGGTGAGAGACGGAGAGGTGGCGCCCTGACGTTGCCTTATATTTCACCCAATAGTCATTAATCCTTGCATATTTGAATGCACAAATTAGACCAGCCGCAAGAATGCGGGAAACGCTTAAGGGCAGCAGGCTGTTCATTTGCAGGTGTTTTTAGTAACAGACCCTGCCCACTTCAAAGGGGTGTGTCTGCCCAATTCCTCACAAAAGCAGCTGCCAAGATGGAGTAAGACAGGCAAGGATTTGCCTGAGAGACAGGCCTGGGAGATGAAGTGGAGAGCCAGCCAGAAAGGCTAGACAGTTACCAGATCAAAATACAAACCCAAGCCTGGAAGAAAACAGGAAGGAGAAACTTGGGTGCTATTGTCCGAAGCTGCCATGGGCTCTAAGGAAGGTTTGGCAAGGCATGCTTTCTTGTCACTACCATTCTGCCATTAGTTGGGTTCTGGGGTTGGCTAATAAAGCCTCAGCTCAGATGTGGAGATGGTTTCGAGGCCCAATGGCTGAAGCCGGCAGTTTCCCTCCCCGCAGGTCTTCAAGGCTCATGTTTCTAAGCGCTGCTGAGGTTATCCGTCTTACCTATATTTCATGTTGTCCTGACAAATGTCAGCACTGGACGTGGTGAGATGCACATCTGTAACCCCAGCACTAAAGAGGCAGGGACAGGAGGATTGCCAAGAGTATAAGGCCATCTGGGCTACAGAGGGAAACCCATTATCAATACACATACACAAATAATGTCATGATAATAACAATAATAATAATAAATAGACCTTAACATTTCGGAAATATAGGACCAGAACAAACCCAGCCCAGTGATGGTTTTTTTAATTAACATTTGGAGGTGTCAGGGATTGAACCCATGGCCTTGTTCAGTGTTCCCAATTAAACAGGGATTCCTTGCTGGAGGCGGTGGGTGGTAGTGCATGCCTTTAATTTCAGCACCTGAGAGGCAGAGGCAAGTGGATCTCTGTGAGTTCAAGACTAGCCTGGTCTACTGCGTGAGTTCCAAGACAGGTAGGGCTACACAGAGAAATCTTATCTTGAAAAAAAAAAAAAAACAAAAGAAAACAAAAACAGAGACTCCTTAACTACTTAGGACTTGTATTCAGCTACTGTTCTACAGACTAGAGATTTTTTAATGGTTTAACCAAGAAGTTTGTTTCTCTTTACTGTAAGTGTGCAAGTAAGCAAAATGGTGGGATGGTCCACAGGGTCCTCCTGGGCCAAGGTACTTCCTGTCTTTATATCCCTCTATTCTTAGAATATAACTACCATGTTCAAGATCATATTATTTTCCAAAATGGACGTTGGAGGTCCTTCATCTGGAAGAAAGACAAGGAGTGGTGTTAAAATAACATTGGAGGCCCCTTAAAATATGTTAATAATATTGGAGGCTCCTAACCAAAACAATGAATCTTCCTGTAGCTGGAGACTCCTGTTATCGTCCCCTCCCTCAAGAGTTAATCCAGTTGGACAGGTCAAGGACCCGGCTATGGGACCACCCCTCTGGAAGGCAGGCTCACTTTAAGTCATGCTAAAGAGATAGGTGGACTAACTATCCCTTTAATGAAAGTTTGCCTTCCCAGAATTCCAGTTCTCTGGCGTGGTCCTTACAAGCCTACGGATACTGTTGGCTCGAGCCCACCTTTCTGAGTCCTGCCTGAGAAAGGCAGAACGTTCTTCTCTTTCCTTTGGATGCTCGCCAGCTTTTTCTCCCTCTGTACAGGTTCCCTCCCCACCCTGTCAATGGCTGCCACCGTGTGGCTGACCTCCATTACCATCTTAGCTTGGACAGCATTGCTGCTTTTCCCTGTTCTTCTCCAGCCTCCTCCTCCTCCTCTTCCTCGTGGCAATTGCCAAAATTCCTAGTTTCCATTCGAGTCTGTTCTTAAATTCTTCTTAGTAAGACATAAGAACCCCAAGGGGAACCCACACACACACCTCCGCACGAGCAGTACAACACACAAAAGATGTTTGCTAACTCTGCGAACCTTTGTGGGAACAGAGCTATCCCTGTAAAGTTGCAGCCTTTTTCAGCATCCAGTTCCTTTGGTGACTCCTTGCTCTACGGAAAGCTGTGAAATGCATTCATTTGGCTGTGCCTAAAAACTGCCTCGACTGCTTGCAGAGAAGGGGAGAATAAATTCGGGGACTGCGTCCTTTGTCACAGGCATTTCTTGAGCTCATATTTGAAAAGGTTTTAATTAAAAGAGACTGATGAGGTTTACTTCCTGTGCTACCAAACGAATGAATATTTATGAGAACCATTGATCCAATTCAGTGGCCATCCATAAATTTGCAAATATTGTTTATTGGTTGCCTTGTGTGTCTGCCTCTTTAGTTTTTACTTTCCTTTCTGGGCAAGAGTAAATTTTGCTATCTGCTCAGCCCACAAGTTTCCTTCTCTGAGAACTGCTCTCCCAACTGTTAGTCCTCAACAGTAATAGTTAAAACCACCTAAGGCATCCCTTGGCCTTCAACTATTGGGTGGCAGAAGGGAAATCAGGCAATCAGAGCAAACCCTTTCCTTCTAAGACTCTCCAGCTGAGCTGAATGTAGCAATACACACCTATACTATCAGAGAGGCTGTTGCAGGATGGTTGCCAAGAGTTTGGGGCCAACCTTAGCTACAGTGTGAGACCCCCATGTCAACCTGTACTACTCTCAAAAAAGAGGAGGATGAAGAGGATTTGGAGTTAGTGCCAAACCCATTCTCTATTGCTCATTTAACCAGACATTTTTTTTTTCTGTAGTTATGTGGATCACTGCTCTCCGTAGCTATTTTCCCAAATGTAATATTCAGATCAGTGAACTAGAAAGACCATAACGAGCTGCTGTGGCTACTGGAAAGTGCCTTTCAGTGTACTTTCATGGCTATAACCTAAGTGATATGATTCCAAGCCTGTAACTTTGCAATCCTGTCCGTATGTGGCATGCTAGAGTCAACATGGAATTTGCGAAGTTGATGTGTGGGTACCCCAGACCCCAGAGCAGCGAGTACATATATGAGGGGACATGGTACTTCCTGATGACAGAGCTACCCTACTTTTGTTTGTTGACCCGGGTACTACACATTAAAGGTGATGCTTAGAGTTGGGGGTAAAATTCGTTTGGCTTATTCGACTGATTTTGAACAATTAGGCTCAACTGGTCGTCTTCGTGCACTGGTCCGGAAACTGCATGGATGAATAAGTCATGGATTCTGCCCAGGAAGTTCAATGATTTGTGGCTCCCGGACTCTAGTGTTCTATATGCATGACAAGCCCTATCTAGCAAGAAAGAGTTAAGACTTCTCGGTTGAAAGAAGATTCAGTAGTCTAGAGGCAGAGCAGGGGCAGCAGGGGCGGAGAGCCATTGATTTCTTCCAAGACAGAAACACATTCAAAGGGATTTTATCCCCTCCCTTATCTGGCTTTACCTAGTCCCCTGTGTTTGTCTGCACTCGGTGTTTAAAGATAGCTCTAACAAGGAGGGGAGAGAGAAAAACAAGTCACGTAACTACTTTTAGGTAGTTTTCAAATCAAACGCTCAGAATTATGTCAGGTTATGAAAAGCTATAAAAATTTTAGTGCAGGTACAAGAAAGAGCAATAGTTTTTCTGAGCCTTTTCCTTTCGCTCTGGTATACCCTCCTATTAAAATAAAAACAAACAAAAATAAAGAAAAGCATTGAAGCCTCTGCCTTCTGGAACTTTCTATCAGCGGGAGGTAAGAAATCACGCAAATTGCTGAAAACAAATGGTAATGGGCAGTCATTTCTTTTATAATGGACCATTAGATTATTGTATTTGCATGTATCATTAAAATTTATTGCAAATTCTCTAATGGAATGACAATTCTGGTGATATAGCCTGCCTGATACAATTAGAATGTAGGCTTGTAGGAAAAGTTGCTGTAGATTTCCCTTAGGCAGGGGAATGTGTATCCTTTGCTATGGAACTATCAGTGAGAATAAAGAATCGATTGTGAATGCTTTTGTCCAATTTAACATTCTCCTCTCGTGGAAATCGTAAGACGATTTTCACATTAGCCAGTGATTTGAAGCCTAGCATCTTTTGAAGTGAATCTCTTTGTTTAATACAAAACATGAAGTAATCAAGATCAGATACGTGAATTTTTTTTTATTCTTTGATGGAAAAGGCAAATAATCCTAGGGGTGATTATCAATGAATTCTCAATACCAATTGGTAAAGGTTGTGTGTGTGTGTGTGTGTGTGTGTGTGTGTGTGTGTGTGTGTTTACAGCTTTCGGGAATTGGTTCCTTCATTCTACCATACGGATCCTGAGAATTGAACTCAAGCCACCAGACTTAGCCACAAATGCCTTTACCCTATGAGCCATCACACCAGCCCAGGAATTGTAGGTGCGCTCACTTGAGAGCAGTGTGTCTTCGCAGCAGAGGAGACTCAGAACTGGGCATAAGGAATAAGTTTCCGGCGAGCCGCAGATTCCTGCCGAGTGTAGAGAGGAGAGAGTGAACAGGGAGCGGGGCTTTTGTCTGTTGGTCTCCCTGGACAGAAGCAAGGGAGAACAGAAGCTCAAGACTATTAAGATTCTCAAAATGGTTTACTACCCGGAACTCTTGGTCAGCCACGAACCATTCCCATACAAGGAAATGGAGGGAAGTCTTACTAAGGGGAGACTTCCCGTGCCAAAGGAAGTGAACCACAAGAAGGCGGAGGAGATCAGTGCTGCCTCCCTGGCTCCACCAGGCATCCATGAACTCTGCTCCCCAAATATCTTACTCTTTTTACCTCTACTCTTTTTAATCGTAACACCTCCATTTGTATTGCATATGGTATATGGGGTTTTGATGAGGTTTTGGTATCATATATTGGATTTTTTTTCTGTGTAAATCATCAAATATAAGAAGAAACTATGGGACTCTAAGCCTTGCTTTAGAGAATTTACAGTGGACAAATAGGTATCATCAAAACAGTTTCTAATCATTCTGACTCAAGTGAAAACGCTCAGAATTTCACACTGTGAATCCACGTTTACAACCCCTACAGGTGGGCCTTCAGGCCTGGTTCGCTACAACAATGTCTTCCACAACTCAAACTCCCACTGCGCTCACATGACTGGTCCACACCCACCTCTTCATCACACGGCTCCCGACTGCTTCTTGCAGAGGCTGAGAGTCCCCCCACTTTTTTTTCTCACTTAGATGTAACAAGCCTAGTAGTTTATGTTCATCGATTGTCTGTATATCTCTATATTTTATCCATGTACTCTTTTGATGTATAGAAGTAGTTTGAAACTCATCGTTTCCTTGTGGTAAGTTGACCGAGATGCTGCCACAGGACCTGAGACACTATTTTGGACTTTCAACATGCTCCTTGGCGAGGTAGCTCTGATGGAGTTATTTTTTATTTCCATGTTCTGAGAAGTTGTTGTTGGTACTCTGTTTCCCGGAATGTTGTTCTCCAGTCTGGACTGTCTTGTTTTCCTGGTGTTTTCAGTGTGGCTTTCTTCTTCAGTGTAGTAGGTTGAGCGGATGCTACCGAGAGTGTGAGGGGCTGTCCTCTCGGGGCTGGCCCTGGTGGAGATTGCCGTCATGGTAGCGGGAGCAATCACAAAACTGTAATGTACCTACCAGAACTCTTCCGTTCTGCAGCCTCACCTGCCTGGTTAGAAAAAGAAAAGCAATAATTCCACAGGCATTTGGAGGTATCTCTTTAGATTCTTTTTGTTTGACTGGATATTTGGGTGGGGGGAGCGGGGGGAAGGTCCACTCTCTTTAAATAAGTGCCACGTGGGGAAAAAAAAAAATCCAAAGTACTGACATCCAAGTAGGAATTTGAAAATTATACCTTTCCAAACGTTGAGGTTGGAAAAATGTCTTTACAAAATAATGATTATTATCATGATGATGATGATGACGACAATGATGATGACAAAAGGCAAAACACCTTTTTTGGGGCCGATTTGATAAGCAAGGTGTAGATTTTACATTTTTGTCCTTGCTCCCAATGAAATGGATAAACAAAAATAAAATCCGATAACACCATCTCTTCACGGAATGTTGTTGTGTTAAGCCAGATTGAAAGCCCACCTTAATTTTTATATAATGCCTTTAGCTCTTCCTTTGACAGGGCAGGCCTTGTTCTGAACTGTTTGCGCTTCTGACTGTTAAACACCAGTGACCCATGCACTGTACCTCTTCCTCCTCTTCTCGCTCCCCCACTGGCCTGAGTTTCTTGTGCATTCTTCTCTCCCCACCCCCACCTTCGTTAGGATAGACATATCAGCTATGTAAATAGAGCAAGAAAACAGTGTTGTGCATTTGTGGCATTTATGTAGAGTTGCAGGTGTGCACTGCTGAAAATGCCGGCTTTTGTAACATGTGCTCCTTACTGTTGCTCTCATAAGTACCCAATGTATTTTAGCTATTTTAGTAGTATTTATTCAATAAATATGCAAGCTGTAAGAAAAAAAAAGGAATAAGTTTCCTAGTGGGACAGAACCAGTGCAGCCTTGTTCAGAGATTCCCACACATCCAGCACACAGGTTAGATTGCCTGATTTAATCTCTCTCTCTCTCTCTCTTTCATCTCTGTGTGTCTGTCTTGTCTCTTTCCTCACCTCTCTGTCTCCTTCCTGTCTCTTTGTTTGTCTCTCCCTTCCCGACCTCTCTCTCTCCCCCTCTTCCACCTCTCCCTTCTCCCCCCCCCCCCCCCCCCCCCCCCCCCCCCCCCCCCCCCCCCCCCCCCCCCCCCCCCCCCCCGCCACCAGTATCTCACTATATAGATCAGGCTAGCCTTGAATTTGCAATGATCCTTCTGCCTATCTCTCCCAGTGCTGGGATTACAGGTTATGGGTTCCACATGTCACCGAGCCTGAGAAAAACCTCCCTTTCTCATCAGTGCTTTGAATTATTGGTTCACCGCTCCATATTTCCAATGAATTCTTAGACCACGAATATTGTTCCCTTCTATTCTTGAAAATAAGATAAATTTCTCTCCACTCCTTGCATTGTTATCACTTGATCCAGGGAAATTATGAAACTACATGAAAGTCAATTTCAATGTCATTCTGCATCAAGAATAATCAGGAAATACCTCCCGAAGCCTGTAATTTTCTACTAATTTTTAAGTGAGCCTAAGAATATTGAAGACTTTATTTTACATTGCTATATTAGCTCAGCACATTAAGTATTATGCATATATTGTATAAAAGGCAAGAATAATAAACAGGAAAAAGAAAGCTGGATAAAAAAAACAGTGCCTTTAACACGTATTTTAACTAGATGAATAATTCAAATCTGTCTCCTGGCACCAGAAATATATTCCAGAATATTTTTCAGAGATGCATCTTGGTTTATTTGATATTTCATGACACAATAAGTCTTAGAAATATTCAAATGGTTCATTAAAAGTGAAGGATGAGTAGCTTGGGGGATGCCAGAACCCCAGAAGAAAGACGTGACTTAAGAACATGTGCCGTTTCCCCCACAAAGTCAGATGTAAACATTTTTAAAGTTATATTTGAAATGCCTGTGGTGTACTATATAACAAATGAGGAAATGAAGTGTGAAATTAAGGGAGTTGCTGAGTGATCAACCAGTTTAAGTGTGTCAAATGGAATCTCCACAAAACTGATAATATAGCATTAATTACTCTGAAGAAAGCTGTCCTGGAATTCATACACTTTTCAAACAATGCTGAAACACGCAAAGCTGTGTGGATCAACATTTTCTGCAGATGTTTGCCCAAGTATCAGATCCAAGCAAAGGAAAGAATAGGACCGTAGGCAGTGGAGGGCCTGCTTTCTGGTGCTTTTCAAACCGCCCATTTGGAAGATTCGATTTTAGTTAACAATGCAGGTCATCCTCAGCTGTTATTATCGTTATTATCATCAATTTTCAGCCATTATCCAAAGGGAGTGATTGATTCCCTCTTCTGAAGTGTATATGGATGAATTTGAATGGGAAAGATGTCTAGGCTGACTCGTGAAAAGAGGGTAATAAATGGGAGCTATGTTTTCCTGTGAAAACGTGTGCATTAGCAGCAAGAACCATGTTTGTTAAGTCGCAGACATAGACAAACAATGCGTAAGATTCAAGAATAATTGTAAAGTATCCATGGCGACAATAAATGTCTTGTCAACACACATCGTTCTATTTATACCTTGGGAAGTAAGTCATCAGGTTTCTATAAATAGAGTAGAAATTCATTCATTTCCACCCTAATCTTGTAAATCTCCAATTTTCACCACAATAAAGGGACTGGACTCGGGAGGATAATGGGGGAATGTGTCAGAATATATAGAATCGGCCTTGTGTCTGGAGAAAGTGTCAACATGGTTAAAAAAGAAAGATAAAGGGGGGATAATAATGGAGCTCCATAAAATCTCCAGCTGGTGATTTCATGGGGAAGAGGGACCCCAAAAAGCTGAACAACAATATGCCTCTTCTAGGACATCCACTGAATTTTAGATACAAAACAAAAATTTTGGTTGAATATATTGGGGAGTGTTTTCTGTTTGTTTGTTTAGAAAATGCAAGAAGAATGAGTTACTAAACCACACAGGTGGGTCAGACCTGTAATCTCAGCAATTAGGGAGGCCAAGGCAGGCCAATCTCAAGTTTAGAGACTGCCTGGGCAACTTACTGAAACCTTGTCTCAAAATCTAAAAAAAAAAAAAAAGAAAAAAGAAAGAAAGAAAGAAAGAAAGAAAGAAAGAAAGAAAGAAAGAAAGAAAGAAAGAAAGAAAAAAAAGAATTTCTAGCTGGGAAGTGGTGTCACATGTTTTTAGTCCCAGCACCTGGGAGGCAGAGGCAGGCAGAGCTGTGAGTTTGACACCATCCTAGTCTACATAATGAGTTCCAGGATAGCCAGGACTACACAGAGAAACCTTTTCTTCCAAAACAAAAATAATTCAGAGTGGGCAAGGAAAAAGTGCATTCAAAGTACCAAATTCCCGGCATGCTCAGGGAATCAGAGGCATCAAGTACTCGTGAAGACTGAATGGTAGAACCCTGAGGAACAGCCATAGAGGAGAGCAGGGATGCTCTGCTACAGATGAGGGGTTCATTGGTTACCATACTCCCAGAAGTGCTCTTTCCCAGCCCCTTCTCCCTCCTGGCTCTCAAACACCTGGCAGCTATGCATTGACTTTGAGTGCAAGAAAATGACCTCTGAAGCCTGGGTCAAAACTGGTCTCGGTGAACATAGCGGACAAGGAGGACTACTGAGACCTCAAGAACAATGGCAATGGGTTTTTGATTCTACTGGACCTATTGGTTTCGTGGGAGCCTAGGCAGTTTCGTGGATGCTCACCTTACTAGACCTGGATGGAGGTGGGTCTTGGACTTCCCACAGGGCAGAGAACCCTGATTGCTTTTTGGGCTGACGAGGGAGGGGGATTTGACTGGGGGAGGGGGAGGGAAAGGGGAGGCAGCGGTGGGGAAGAGACAGAAATCTTTAATAAATAAATAAATTTAAAAAAAAAGAAAATGACCTCTGACAGAAGCCTATGAGCCCTCACATGTGGAGGTTGGCAGTGAAAGATCCAGGCCCTATATGAAGTAACTTACCCTGAAGCCCTTCCCTTGACAATTTCACATAGATTTCACTAAATAAAGCTTTATTGAGAAATGGACGGTGATGGCGCATGCCTTTAATCCCAGCACTCCAGGAGGCAGAGGCAGGCAAATCTCTGTGAGTTCGAGGCCAGCCTGGTCTACAAGAGCTAGTTCCAGAACAGTCTCTAAAGCTCCAGAGAAACCCTGTCTCAAAAAACAAAAACAAAAACAAAAATAAATAAATAAATAAAACCTTGGAGTGAACAAAAAAAAAAAAAAACAAAGCTTTATCGAAATTCTGTTCATAAATTTATTTAAAGGGCCCAGGAATATTTCAAACTATATCACTTAATCTTCAAATTAAACCCATCAGAATTCTATAGTTATCTCCAATTAAAGTTAACAAAATGAGACAAAAATGTAGAAAGGGAAACTATCTGTGAAGGGGAAGGGGACAGACAAGAGTTGGAGGGGACAAGACAGAACAATGGGAGGTAAATATGAACAAAATGCATTATGTACATGGATGAAATTATGAAAATGAATAAGGATTGCT